GTAGCTGGTGTCGCTATGTGTTTTTGTGTATGTAGCTTTGTGTAGATCGGTATTTAACTGAGTCTGGTTGTGTGTGAAACAAACACACATACATTTATATATGCATACACACATACATTTATATACGCATACACATATATATTTATATACGCATACACATTTCCATACATAGCTTTTTTAAACGAACAAACGAACTTAGGGATTGTATTGGTCCGTACAACAAAGTCCACTTTAATAATCCTTTTGAATTCTGAACAGGCTTAGCGCTAGGACCCCCATTTCCTTGAGCTTACCGGGAAAAAAAATCAAGAAATATTTGTATAACTTTTTTTAATTTCCTGGAGAAAACCAACGTGTTTAAACTACAAATTCTTTGGAATGAAACGGAAATGGAAGGTAGGATATGGGATGTGGCATCTGGGAGGATTGTGGTAGGATATGGGATGTGGCATCTGGGAGGATTGTGGTAGGATATGGGATGTGGCATCTGGGAGGATTGTGGTAGGATATGAGAAGTGCAGTATGGGGGTCATCCATAAATGACGTCACACTCGTAGGGGAGAGGGGGGGGTCCGTAATTTTGTGACGATGTGTGATGAGTGGGGGGGGGGGGAGTTCAGATGTTGCGACGTCACACTTTTGCATCACAAAAAAAGCAATGTTAGAAAACGAATTTTAGACGTTATTTCGCGTTTTAGATAACTGTTTTAATAAATTGTAATAGTTTAGACAAAATTTTAGAAAAAATATCGATGTTTAAAAAAAATGCAACTGCAATTTTGAGGGGGGGGGGTTGTAAGTTGAGGTGTGACGTCATCTTAGGGGGGGGGAGTAAGGCTTTTTGTGACGACGTGTGACGGAGGGGAGGTAAAAATTGTCAAAAAAGCGTGACGTCATTTATGGATGACCCCTATGTATAGGGAGGATTGTGGTAGGATATTTGATATCGTTTGACAATACAAGTTTAACTTTTAGTTCAATGACTTTCATATTCTATATAAAAACTTAATAATTTACGAACAGAACACCCAATATTCTATATAAAAACTTAATAATTTACGAACAGAACACCCAATATTCTATATAAAAACTTAATAATTTACGAACAGAACACCCAATATTCTATATAAAATCCTGAAGATGTGCCTGTCTACATGATAAAAAAAATGTCTCCTGAAGATGTGGCTAAGCCCTCAATGAATTAATCATCGATCTCATACTGTCTCTGGTGACGAAAAAAATAACCAAGTATTGCTGACGTCAGCTAAATTGATGTGACGTCCACAAGAGCATTATGAGACGGTGATAGAAATCTTCGATTTATAATGGTCGGTAAGGTAGTAAGGGGTGGGGGGAAAGGGGGAGGGTTGTAGTCTAGGTGGTGGAATTTTGGGTTGGTGGAAGGGTTGGGGTAGTGGAAGGTTGGGATGGTGGAAGGTTGGAATGATGGAAGGTTGGAATGGTGGAAGGTTGGGATGGTGGAAGGTTGGGATGGTGGAAGGTTGGAATGGTGGAAGGTTGGAATGGTGTAAGGTTGGAATGGTGTAAGGTTGGAATGGTGGAAGGTTGGGATGGTGGAAGGTTTGGATGGTGGAAGGTTGGGATGGTGGAAGGTTGGGATGGTGGAAGGTTGGGATGGTGGAAGGTTGGGATGGTGGAAGGTTGGGATGGTGGAAGGTTGGAATGGTGGAAGGTTGGGATGGTGGAAGGTTGGAATGATGGAAGGTTGGAATGGTGGAAGGTTGGAATGATGGAAGGTTGGAATGGTGGAAGGTTGGGATGTTGGAAGGTTGGAATGGTGGAAGGTTGGGATGGTGGAAGGTTGGAATGGTGGAAGGTTGGGATGGTGGAAGGTTGGAATGATGGAAGGTTGGAATGGTGGAAGGTTGGGATGGTGGAAGGTTGGGATGGTGGAAGGTTGGGATGGTGGAAGGTTGGGATGGTGGAAGGTTGGGATGGTGGAAGGTTGGGATGGTGGAAGGTTGAGATGGTGGAAGGTTGGGATGGTGGAAGGTTGGGATGGTGGAAGGTTGGGATGGTGGAAGGTTGGGATGGTGGAAGGTTGGGATGGTGAAAGGTTGGGATGGTGGAAGGTTGGGATGGTGGAAGGTTTGTAGGTTGGGATGGTAGAAGGTTTGTAGGTTGGGGTGGTGGTAGGTTGGGATGGTGGAAGGTTGAGATGGTGGAAGGTTGGGGTGGTGGAAGGTTGGGATGGTGGAAGGTTTGTAGGTTGGGATGGTGGAAGGTTGGGATGGTGGAAGGTTGGAATGGTGGAAGGTTGGGATGGTGGGAGGTTGGGATGGTGGAAGGTTGGGATGGTGGAAGGTTGGGATGGTGGAAGGTTGGGATGGTGGAAGGTTGGGATGGTGGAAGGTTGAGATGGTGGAAGGTTGGGATGGTGGAAGGTTTGTAGGTTGGGATGGTAGAAGGTTTGTAGGTTGGGGTGGTGGAAGGTTGGGATGGTGGAAGGTTTGTAGGTTGGGGTGGTGGAAGGTTGGAGTGGTGGAAGGTTGGGATGGTGGAAGGTTGGGATGGTGGAAGGTTGGGATGGTGGAAGGTTGGGATGGTGGAAGGTTGAGATGGTGGAAGGTTGGGATGGTGGAAGGTTGGGATGGTGGAAGGTTTGTAGGTTGGGATGGTGGAAGGTTTGTAGGTTGGGATGGTGGAAGGTTGGGATGGTGGAAGGTTGGAGTGGTGGAAGGTTGGAGTGGTGGAAGGTTGGAAGGTTGGGATGGTGGAAGGTTGAGATGGTGGAAGGTTGGGATGGTGGAAGGTTGGGATGGTGGAAGGTTTGTAGGTTGGGATGGTGGTAGGTTGGGATGGTGGAAGGTTGGGATGGTGGAAGGTTGGAATGGTGGAAGGTTGGAAGGTTGGGATGGTGGAAGGTTTGTAGGTTGGGGTGGTAGAAGGTTTGTAGGTTGGGGTGGTGGAAGGTTGGGATGGTGGAAGGTTGGGATGGTGGAAGGTTTGTAGGTTGGGGTGGTGGAAGGTTGGGATGGTGGAAGGTTGGGATGGTGGAAGGTTGGGATGGTGGAAGGTTGGAGTGATGGAAGGTTGGAATGGTGGAAGGTTGGGATGGTGGAAGGTTGGGATGGTGGAAGGTTGGGATGGTGGAAGGTTGGAGTGATGGAAGGTTGGGATGGTGGAAGGTTTGTAGGTTGGGATGGTAGAAGGTTTGTAGGTTGGGATGGTGGAAGGTTGGGATGGTGGAAGGTTGGGATGGTGGAAGGTTGGAGTGATGGAAGGTTGGGATGGTGGAAGGTTGGGATGGTGGAAGGTTGGAGTGATGGAAGGTTGGGATGGTGGAAGGTTTGTAGGTTGGGATGGTAGAAGGTTTGTAGGTTGGGATGGTGGAAGGTTGGGATGGTGGAAGGTTGAGATGGTGGAAGGTTGGAGTGGTGGAAGGTTGGGATGGTGGAAGGTTTGTAGGTTGGGGTGGTAGAAGGTTTGTAGGTTGGGGTGGTGGAAGGTTGGGATGGTGGAAGGTTGGGATGGTGGAAGGTTGGGATGGTGGAAGGTTGGAGTGATGGAAGGTTGGGATGGTGGAAGGTTGGAATGGTGGAAGGTTGAGATGGTGGAAGGTTGGGATGGTGGAAGGTTTGTAGGTTGGGATGATAGAAGGTTTGTAGGTAGGGATGGTGGAAGGTTGGGATGGTGGAAGGTTTGTAGGTTGGGGTGGTGGAAGGTTGGGATGGTGGAAGGTTGGAATGGTGGAAGGTTGGGATGGTGGAAGGTTGGGATGGTGGAAGGTTGGGATGGTGGAAGTTTGGAATGGTGGAAGGTTGGAATCGTGGAAGGTTGGAGTGTTGAAAGGTTGGGTTGGTGGAAGGTTGGGATGGTGGAAGGTTGGAATGGTGGAAGGTTGGGATGGTGGAAGGTTGAGATGGTGGAAGGTTGGGATGGTGGAAGGTTGGAATGGTTGAAGGTTGGGATGGTGGAAGGTTGGGATGGTGGAAGGTTGAGATGGTGGAAGGTTGAGATGGTGGAAGGTTGGGATGGTGGAAGGTTGGGATGGTGGAAGGTTGGGATGGTGGAAGGTTGGAGTGATGGAAGGTTGGAATGGTGGAAGGTTGGAATGGTGGAAGGTTGGAATGGTGGAAGGTTGGAATGGTGGAAGGTTGGAATGGTGGAAGGTTGGGATGGTGGAAGGTTGGGATGGTGGAAGGTTGGAGTGGTGGAAGGTTGGGATGGTGGAAGGTTGGGATGGTGGGAGGTTGGGATGGTGGAAGGTTGGGATGGTGGAAGGTTGGGATGATGGAAGGTTGGGATGGTGGAAGGTTGGGATGGTGGAAGGTTGGGATGGTTGAAGGTTGGGATGGTGGAAGGTTGAGATGGTGGAAGGTTGGGATGGTGGAAGATTAAAAATAGTGGAAGATTAAAAATAGTGGAAGGTTACAAATGGTGGAAGGTTACACATGGTGGAAATTTGGGATGGTGAATAATTGGGGTGGCGGGAGTGAAGGTAGGGGCGGGGTGGGGGTAGGGCGGGAGTAATAGCCTGGAGCTGAAGACGGTAGGGTCATGTTGTAATCAAAGACAGCTCGGAGATTGGGCTGACACACAGCCCCCACCGCCCCTTATTTCGCGATGACAACCGAGTCCGTTTGATGACCAATGTCCAGCCATTGATTGTATCAGCTCACCGTCACAGGCCGAATTTCTAGTTTGACCAACAGTTCTCTTTCTATATTGCAAATGTGACTTATTTTTATCTGTGTGCCACTTAAATTGTTTCATTTAGATAGGTTTCACTATCACTTCCCTAGAAATCTATCACTTCCCTAGAAATCTATCCCTTCCCTAGATATTTATCACTTTCCTAGAAATCTATCACTCCCCTAGATATCTATCACTTCCCTAGATATCTATCACTTCCCTAGAAATCTATCACTTCCCTAGATATCTATCACTTCCCTAGAAATCTATCTTCCTTAGATGTCGATTCCCTAATAATGTCTCACTTGGATATGTCTCAACTAACGTCAACACAGACTACTTACCTTAAGTGTAAAACTTGTGTTTTGTTGTACATATTTGCCAAGTTCGAATTCATAAAAATTGTATCCATCTGTAAATTACATCAAAGTAAAAACATTTGTTTTTCAATTTTCATGAGGTTTAATCAAAGTTGGTTACCAGCAATACATTGTATCATAGGAAAATGGTGCACTTTAGTAATTTTATCAAATTATAGTCAGTGGATTAGCAGTTGGTGGATTAGCAGTTGGTGAATAAGCAGTTGGTGGATTAGCAGATAATGGATTAGTAGTTGATGGATTAGCAGTTGGTGGATTAGCAGTTGGTGGATAAGCAGTTAGTGGAGTAGCAAATGGTTGCTAGGATGTCTTTGCTGTTGTCAGCCTAAATAGGTTAATTCGATGTTCACGTAGTACACGATGTCCAAATTGTGAGAGTCAACATGGAACCGTCCAAATTGTGAACGTCAACTTGTGACCGTCCAAGTTGTGACCGTCAACTTGTGACCGTCAACTTGAGACCGTCCAAGTTGTGACCGTCAACTTGGGACCGTCCAAGTTGTGACCGTCAACTTGTGACCGTCAACTTGTTCGGCAGGCCTTATTTTATATTATTTTATTTTGTATAAGAAATAGTATGTTTTAATTTAAGGATCATCTATCGATGACTTCCACATGAGTCGGTTATTATATGCTGTTCCAACTCAAGTGTGTGGGGAGAAGGGTCCACGCTGTACCTTCCTAACTGCAGTATGCTTGTAGGTTATCAAAACAAAATGCTGTTATCATGTAAACATCATGTATATCATACATTTACACATTTAGAATTGGTGGAATTTAGCTGTTAAGGGCTAAATTTGTTTGTGAATTGATGCTGGTTCATGATAAACAATTTCATGCAGCCATTTAAAAGAGATTATGGTGGAAGTGGAAGTATGACAAAATGGTTTCTTTTATGCCAATAGTGGTAATACGATTCATTTGTCTGGAGCCAATATGTCGGGAGTCATTTTGTCGGAAGCCAATTTATCGAGAGCCTTTTGTCTGATGCCAATATGTCGTGAGCCCTTATGTCGGGTGCCAATATGTCGGGAGAAGCTTTGTCGGGAGCCAATATGTCGGGAATCCATTTGACGGGAGCCTAAATGCCGGGAGCCCATTTGTCGGGAGCCTATTTGTCGCGAGTCATTATGACGGGAGCCCATTTGACGGGAGCCAATAAGTCGGGGCCCTTTTGACGGAGCTATTTTGACGGGGTCGTTTTGTCGGGGTCATATTAAGGGGCCGTTTTGACGGGGCCGATTTGACCCGGGCCGTTTTGGAGGTGCACCATTATATATATATATACATATATATATATACATATATATATATATATATATATATATATATATATATATATATATATATATATATATATATATATATATATATATATATATATATATATATATATATATATATATATATATATATATATATGTGTGTGTGTGTGTGTATATGTATTCACATACTTTTTTTTTCTACATGTATTTAATTTTTTTACCTCCCCCCCCATACATGGATTAACATATAGCTTATTAACATTCTCAACCAAACCGTTTACCTCAGGCATATTTTGCAACGTTGAGTTAATGTAACTCCCACTCCCCCCCCCCCACCCCACGGCGATTGCTTTAAACTGTGCTCATACAATAAAACGATTTTTTTCTAGAGCCGGTTATAAATACAGCTCGATGTAGCGTGTTTTTTTTTCTGTCATTAGCAGGTTTACGTCATGGTGTCACCCCGCCCCTCCACCTTTTTCAGGATTTGTCAACTTTGCTCTTAAAAGACTATTTATCTTACTCTAATTAATCACTTAATTCAGTGGAATAATCTTTCTGTACATATTATGCTATTGTGACCTACTTAGCTCTTATTTTTTTAATAGTTTTATTTTATTATTTTAAATGGCCTTGAGCTATCTGTTGTTTGAACTAAGAAATTTTCCACCAGACTAATGTGATAGTATTCACAACTGTGTTCGTGTTACTCGTGTTTTGGATCCATCCCCCAATGGTCCTTAACATTGGTGTCAACATCCCATAATTTCAGGGTAATATAAAAAGGAAAAATGTTCCAAACACGAGGCGTACAAGACACCCAGAGACAACCCGCGGCTCATAGCATCCACCTTGTGTTAGGCCGTAATCTATATATCTATATATATAATTCTCTTCTGGGAGACGCTAGAAAACAAGCTGTAAACGCGCTCCCTACCACTCCCACCCCTACATGGTCTGGTGAGCTGTGGTTCACGCTAAATGTTTACATTCGTAAAGCCGGGTTTATGGTTTATTAGGGGCAGATAATTTAGTTTGAAACGATTTTAAACTTAGGGGAGGTAACTAAGAGGAGGCTGCTTTCACGGGGGGGGGGGGGGGTGTAGGGTAGGGGTTGGGGGAAAGGAGGGTGGGGGTAGTATCGTTCTTAACGACCTACTGATAGTGTTTTAAAGCAAATATTTTCAGTGGCAGCATTGGTACTGTCGAATTCACAAATTATTAATTAGTGAAAAGTAGAAAATAAAACAACTAAATAGCGGCATATGATATGCCGCGGGTCGGCTCGTTTACTTATATTCCTCTAGTACTCAGTATTTGGTTTTTCGTAGTATAGGTTGTGTTAGTTAGATATTTCACCCCAGTGTTAATTGTAGAAAGAAGTGATTGTGATTTCCATGAAATTGTAAGTTGGGTTTTAAATTATTGTATAGTTTTTGGATTGTATTTTATTTTTTAGACTTGTTTGCTTTTTAGAAGGTTTTAGATTTGATTAAAAGTTTTATTAGATTCACCCTAGACATTAGATTTCGAGCCTGCGAAGAGTTGTGTTTCTATTAATCTTTTATAGTTTCGTATAGTTCATCAGTCTAGAACTATCCCAAAAGAATCCGGGTGTTGCCTATTATTTACCAGTGGTATTTTTTGCCTTGGTGTCACCCCCTAAATGGTATCACCCGGTGAGGTCTGCACCCCCCCCCCCATCGATACGCTTCTGAATGTAGGGATACGGTTACTGATATGGGTAGGATTAGTGTTTGAAATTAGGGTTCGAGTTAGGATTATTGTTACGGCTAGAATAAAGAGATAATGATAGGATTAGGGATAAGGCTCTCAAATCGAAGATTGAAAGGGATAAGTAGTTTTAAGCATGTATTTAAAAAGAGTGGGGCTAACAACCCAAGGGCTATTAACACTAACCTTGAGAAATTAGGCTACACAGACCTAGACAGACCTACCTTAAATAAAAAAGCGTTACGAAGGATGATGAAAGCAGGTGAAGTAGAGTCAGCCATGTGGGGGTTGTACATGGCAAAAGGCCCAGCAATAACTGTAAGGCTGCCCTGGATGCTGGCTAAGGTTATCACTAAAAACGACAGGTCATACAATAAAGGTCATCACTAAAAAACGACAGGTCATACAATAAAGGTCATCACTAAAAACGACAGGTCATACAATAAAGGTCATCACTAAAAACGACAGGTCATACAATAAAGGTCATCACTAAAAACGACAGGTCATACAATAAAGGTCATCACTAAAAACGACAGGTCATACAATAAAGGTCATCACTAAAAACGACAGGTCATACAATAAAGGTCATCACTAAAAACGACAGGTCATACAATAAAGGTCATCACTAAAAAACGACAGGTCATACAATAAAGGTCATCACTAAAAACGACAGGTCATACAATAAAGGTCATCACTAAAAACGACAGGTCATACAATAAAGGTCATCACTAAAAACGACAGGTCATACAATAAAGGTCATCACTAAAAAACGACAGGTCATACAATAAAGGTCATCACTAAAAACGACAGGTCATACAATAAAGGTCATCACTAAAAACGACAGGTCATACAATAAAGGTTATCAATAGCATCAATAAATGAGCCAACCATCAAATGAGCAGCCCTCAAAACTTACCAGGAGGAGATAAAGAAGATGACAATGAAAATGGAGAAGACGAATCTTCTGAAGAATCGCCTGAAACGTTTTTAAAAAAAAAGAAGTTAAAACATAAATTCAGTGTCAGTAAGCAAACATTCGAGTGGGCCTAAATAAGTGAGACAACACACTTAAAGAAAACATCCCACCTGCCTGTCTCACGCCTAGACTCACCTGTATGACACCTGGACTCACCTGTATCACACTTGGACTCAACTGTATTGCACATGGACTGAACTGTATGACACGTGGACTCACCTGTATGACACCTGGACTCACCTGTATCACACCTGGACTCAACTGTATGGCACATGGACTGAACTGTATGACACCTGGACTCAACTGTATGACACCTGGACTCACCTGTATCACACCTGGACTCAACTGTATGGTACATGGACTGAACTGTATGACACCTGGACTCACCTGTATGACACCTGGACTCACCTGTATCACACCTGGACTCAACTGTATGGCACATGGACTGAACTGTATGACACCTGGACTCACCTGTATGACACCTGGACTGAACTGTATGACACCTGGACTCACCTGTATGACACCTGGACTCACCTGTATGACACCTGGACTGAACTGTATGACACCTGGACTCAACTGTATGACACCTGGACTCACCTGTATGACACCTGGACTCACCTGTATGACACCTGGACTCACCTTATGACACCTGGACTCAACTGTATGACACCTGGACTCACCTGTATGACACCTGGACTCGCCTATATGACACCTGGACTCACCTGTATGACACCTGGACTCGCCTATATGACACCTGGACTCACCTGTATGACACCTGGACTCACCTGTATGACACCTGGACTCAACTGTATGACACCTGGACTCGCCTATATGACACCTGGACTCACCTGTATGACACCTGGACTCACCTGTATGACACCTGGACTCAACTGTATGACACCTGGACTCACCTGTATCACACCTGGACTCAACTGTATGGCACATGGACTGAACTGTATGACACGTGGACTCACCTGTATGACACCTGGACTCACCTGTATCACACCTGGACTCAACTGTATGGCACATGGACTGAACTGTATGACACCTGGACTCACCTGTATGACACCTGGACTGAACTGTATGACACCTGGACTCACCTGTATGACACCTGGACTCACCTGTATCACACCTGGACTCAACTGTATGGCACATGGACTGAACTGTATGACACCTGGACTCACCTGTATGACACCTGGACTGAACTGTATGACACCTGGACTCGCCTATATGACACCTGGACTCACCTGTATGACACCTGGACTCACCTGTATGACACCTGGACTGAACTGTATGACACCTGGACTCAACTGTATGACACCTGGACTCACCTGTATGACACCTGGACTCACCTGTATGACACCTGGACTCACCTTATGACACTTGGACTCAACTGTATGACACCTGGACTCACCTGTATGACACCTGGACTCGCCTATATGACACCTGGACTCACCTGTATGACACCTGAACTCGCCTATATGACACCTGGACTCACCTGTATGACACCTGGACTCACCTGTATGACACCTGGACTCAACTGTATGACACCTGGACTCGCCTATATGACACCTGGACTCACCTGTATGACACCTGGACTCACCTGTATGACACCTGGACTCACCTGTATGACACCTGGACTCACCTGTATGACACCTGGACTCACCTGTATGACACCTGGACTCACATACCTGTATGACACCTGGACTCACCTGTATGACACCTGGACTCACCTGTATGACACCTGGACTCACCTGTATGACACCTGGACTCGCCTATATGACACCTGGACTCACCTGTATGACACCTGGACTCGCCTATATGACACCTGGACTCACCTGTATGACACCTGGACTCACCTGTATCACACCTGGACTCAACTGTATGACACCTGGACTCGCCTATATGACACCTGGACTCACCTGTATGACACCTGGACTCACCTGTATGACACCTGGACTCACCTGTATGACACCTGGACTCACCTGTATGACACCTGGACTCACCTGTATGACACCTGGACTCACATACCTGTATGACACCTGGACTCACCTGTATGACACCTGGACTCACCTGTATGACACCTGGACTCACCTGTATGACACCTGGACTCGCCTATATGACACCTGGACTCACCTGTATGACACCTGGACTCACATACCTGTATGACACCTGGACTCACCTGTATGACACCTGGACTCGCCTATATGACACCTGGACTCACCTGTATGACACCTGGACTCACCTGTATGACACCTGGACTCGCCTATATGACACCTGGACTCACCTGTATGACACCTGGACTCACCTGTATGACACCTGGACTCACCTGTATGACACCTGGACTCACCTGTATGACACCTGGACTCACCTGTATGACACCTGGACTCACCTGTATGACACCTGGACTCACATACCTGTATGACACCTGGACTCACCTGTATGACACCTGGACTCGCCTATATGACACCTGGACTCACCTGTATGACACCTGGACTCACCTGTATGACACCTGGACTCGCCTATATGACACCTGGACTCACCTGTATGACACCTGGACTCACCTGTATGACACCTGGACTCACCTGTATGACACCTGGACTCACCTGTATGACACCTGGACTCACCTGTATGACACCTGGACTCACCTGTATGACACCTGGACTCACCTGTATGACACCTGGACTCAACTGTATGACACCTGGACTCACCTGTATGACACCTGTACTCGCCTATATGACACCTGGACTCACCTACCTCTATGACACCTGGACTCACCTACCTCTATGGCACCTGGACTCACCTACCTGTATGTATGACTCACCTATAAAATGCACTAGTAGACCAACTGTCAGAGCCACTACTAGCAGCAGGCAGACAAGCAGCAGAAGGATGACACGTGACCGCTTCCTGTGGGCGCGGAACACCAGATCGTCGGGCGCTGGTGTGGGGAGGGAATGCATATAGTCGTTGGCCGCGTGGCTAGGGCGACAGTAGCCCGACCCGCGGCCCTCAGTGCCATCCTCACAAAGTTCTGACCCCCCCGGCTTGGCGCCGTTCTGCACGGGGTAGCCCCTGCCCTCCCCCTCGCTGAAGATCGTGTTGTCATAGCAGGCCTGGAGAAGAGTCAAACGTTCGTCTCCAACTTTACGGTGTAAAATTTTCAGAGGGATTTCCCGTAGGATTCTTGCATTCATTGTTACACCAATTTGGTAGGCCTATTTGTTAGGCGAGTTTCTTAGGGTAACTTAGAGAAACTTTGAAATAGGTTTTGTTAATACTCAAACAAACGGCTGTCTTCGGAATAACATGAGTTAGCATGCTGTCACTTTCTACGCGATGGACAGAAACCTCGCACTCTGTTGACTAGAAAACATTTGGGTTCAATTTCAACCACAGGATGGGAGAAACTTCAACCACAGGATGGGAGAAACTTCAACCACAGGATGGGAGAAACTTCAACCACAGGATGGGAGAAACTTCAACCACAGGATGGGAGAAACTTCAACCACAGGATGGGAGAAACTTCAACCACAGGATGGGAGAAACTTCAACCACAGGATGGGAGAAACTTCAACCACAGGATGGGAGAAACTTCAACCACAGGATGGGAGAAACTTCAACCACAGGATGGGAGAAACTTCAACCACAGGATGGGAGAAACTTCAACCACAGGATGGGAGAAACTTCAACCACAGGATGGGAGAAACTTCAACCACAGGATGGGAGAAACTTCAACCACAGGATGGGAGAAACTTCAACCACAGGATGGGAGAAACTTCAACCACAGGATGGGAGAAACTTCAACCACAGGATGGGAGAAACTTCAACCACAGGATGGGAGAAACTTCAACCACAGGATGGGAGAAACTTCAACCACTCAACCACAGGATGGGAGAAACTTCAACCACAGGATGGGAGAAGCTTCAACCACTCAACCACAGGATGGGAGAAACTTCAACCACAGGATGGGAGAAACTTCAACCACAGGATGGGAGAAACTTCAACCACAGGATGGGAGAAACTTCAACCACAGGATGGGAGAAACTTCAACCACAGGATGGGAGAAACTTCAACCACAGGATGGGAGAAACTTCAACCACTCAACCACAGGATGGGAGAAACTTCAACCACAGGATGGGAGAAACTTCAACCACTCAACCACAGGATGGGAGAAACTTCAACCACAGGATGGGAGAAACTTCAACCACAGGATGGGAGAAACTTCAACCACAGGATGGGAGAAACTTCAACCACAGGATGGGAGAAACTTCAACCACAGGATGGGAGAAACTTCAACCACAGGATGGGAGAAACTTCAACCACAGGATGGGAGAAACTTCAACCACAGGATGGGAGAAACTTCAACCACAGGATGGGAGAAACTTCAACCACAGGATGGGAGAAACTTCAACCACAGGATGGGAGAAACTTCAACCACAGGATGGGAGAAACTTCAACCACAGGATGGGAGAAACTTCAACCACTCAACCACAGGATGGGAGAAACTTCAACCACAGGATGGGAGAAGCTTCAACCACTCAACCACAGGATGGGAGAAACTTCAACCACAGGATGGGAGAAACTTCAACCACAGGATGGGAGAAACTTCAACCACAGGATGGGAGAAACTTCAACCACAGGATGGGAGAAACTTCAACCACAGGATGGGAGAAACTTCAACCACAGGATGGGAGAAACTTCAACCACTCAACCACAGGATGGGAGAAACTTCAACCACAGGATGGGAGAAACTTCAACCACTCAACCACAGGATGGGAGAAACTTCAACCACAGGATGGGAGAAACTTCAACCACAGGATGGGAGAAACTTCAACCACAGGATGGGAGAAACTTCAACCACAGGATGGGAGAAACTTCAACCACAGGATGGGAGAAACTTCAACCACAGGATGGGAGAAACTTCAACCACTCAACCACAGGATGGGAGAAACTTCAACCACAGGATGGGAGAAACTTCAACCACTCAACCACAGGATGGGAGAAACTTCAACCACAGGATGGGAGAAACTTCAACCACAGGATGGGAGAAACTTCAACCACAGGATGGGAGAAACTTCAACCACAGGATGGGAGAAACTTCAACCACAGGATGGGAGAAACTTCAACCACAGGATGGGAGAAACTTCAACCACTCAACCACAGGATGGGAGAAACTTCAACCACAGGATGGGAGAAACTTCAACCACAGGATGGGAGAAACTTCAACCACAGGATGGGAGAAACTTCAACCACAGGATGGGAGAAACTTCAACCACAGGATGGGAGAAACTTCAACCACAGGATGGGAGAAACTTCAACCACTCAACCACAGGATGGGAGAAACTTCAACCACAGGATGGGAGAAACTTCAACCACAGGATGGGAGAAACTTCAACCACAGGATGGGAGAAACTTCAACCACAGGATGGGAGAAACTTCAACCACAGGATGGGAGAAACTTCAACCACAGGATGGGAGAAGCTTCAACCACTCAACCACAGGATGGGAGAAACTTCAACCACAGGATGGGAGAAACTTCAACCACTCAACCACAGGATGGGAGAAACTTCAACCACAGGATGGGAGAAACTTCAACCACTCAACCACAGGATGGGAGAAACTTCAACCACAGGATGGGAGAAACTTCAACCACAGGATGGGAGAAACTTCAACCACTCAACCACAGGATGGGAGAAACTTCAACCACAGGATGGGAGAAACTTCAACCACTCCACCACAGGATGGGAGAAACTTCAACCACAGGATGGGAGAAACTTCAACCACAGGATGGGAGAAACTTCAACCACAGGATGGGAGAAACTTCAACCACAGGATGGGAGAAACTTCAACCACAGGATGGGAGAAACTTCAACCACAGGATGGGAGAAACTTCAACCACTCAACCACAGGATGGGAGAAACTTCAACCACAGGATGGGAGAAACTTCAACCACAGGATGGGAGAAACTTCAAACACTCAACCACAGGATGGGAGAAACTTCAACCACAGGATGGGAGAAACTTCAACCACAGGATGGGAGAAACTTCAACCACAGGATGGGAGAAACTTCAACCACAGGATGGGAGAAACTTCAACCACAGGATGGGAGAAACTTCAACCACAGGATGGGAGAAACTTCAACCACAGGATGGGAGAAACTTCAACCACAGGATGGGAGAAACTTCAACCACAGGATGGGAGGATGGGAGAAACTTCAACCACAGGATGGGAGAAACTTCAACCACAGGATGGGAGAAACTTCAACCACAGGATGGGAGAAACTTCAACCACTCCACCACAGGATGGGAGAAACTTCAACCACAGGATGGGAGAAACTTCAACCACAGGATGGGAGAAACTTCAACCACGGGATGGGAGAAACTTCAACCACAGGATGGGAGAAACTTCAACCACAGGATGGGAGAAACTTCAACCACTCAACCACAGGATGGGAGAAACTTCAACCACAGGATGGGAGAAACTTCAACCACAGGATGGGAGAAACTTCAACCACAGGATGGGAGAAACTTCAACCACAGGATGGGAGAAACTTCAACCACAGGATGGGAGAAACTTCAACCACTCAACCACAGGATGGGAGAAACTTCAACCACAGGATGGGAGAAACTTCAACCACAGGATGGGAGAAACTTCAACCACAGGATGGGAGAAACTTCAACCACAGGATGGGAGAAACTTCAACCACTCAACCACAGGATGGCAGAAACTTCAACCACAGGATGGGAGAAACTTCAACCACAGGATGGGAGAAACTTCAACCACTCAACCACAGGATGGGAGAAACTTCAACCACAGGATGGGAGAAACTTCAACCACAGGATGGGAGAAACTTCAACCACTCAACCACAGGATGGGAGAAACTTCAACCACAGGATGGGAGAAACTTCAACCACAGGATGGGAGAAACTTCAACCACTCAACCACAGGATGGGAGAAACTTCAACCACAGGATGGGAGAAACTTCAACCACAGGATGGGAGAAACTTCAACCACAGGATGGGAGAAACTTCAACCACAGGATGGGAGAAACTTCAACCACGGGATGGGAGAAACTTCAACCACAGGATGGGAGAAACTTCAACCACAGGATGGGAGAAACTTCAACCACAGGATGGGAGAAACTTCAACCACAGGATGGGAGAAACTTCAACCACAGGATGGGAGAAACTTCAACCACAGGATGGGAGAAACTTCAACCACAGGATGGGAGAAACTTCAACCACTCAACCACAGGATGGGAGAAACTTCAACCACAGGATGGGAGAAACTTCAACCACTCAACCACAGGATGGGAGAAGCTTCAACCACAGGATGGGAGAAACTTCAACCACAGGATGGGAGAAACTTCAACCACGGGATGGGAGAAACTTCAACCACAGGATGGGAGAAACTTCAACCACTCAACCACAGGATGGGAGAAGCTTCAACCACAGGATGGGAGAAGCTTCAACCACGGGATGGGAGAAACTTCAACCACAGGATGGGAGAAACTTCAACCACAGGATGGGAGAAACTTCAACCACAGGATGGGAGAAACTTCAACCACTCAACCACAGGATGGGAGAAACTTCAACCACAGGATGGGAGAAACTTCAACCACAGGATGGGAGAAACTTCAACCACGGGATGGGAGAAACTTCAACCACAGGATGGGAGAAACTTCAACCACAGGATGGGAGAAACTTCAACCACAGGATGGGAGAAACTTCAACCACAGGATGGGAGAAACTTCAACCACAGGATGGGAGAAACTTCAACCACAGGATGGGAGAAACTTCAACCACAGGATGGGAGAAACTTCAACCACAGGATGGGAGAAGCTTCAACCACAGGATGGGAGAAACTTCAACCACAGGATGGGAGAAACTTCAACCACAGGATGGGAGAAACTTCAACCACTCAACCACAGGATGGGAGAAACTTCAACCACAGGATGGGAGAAGCTTCAACCACTCAACCACAGGATGGGAGAAACTTCAACCACTCAACCACAGGATGGGAGAAACTTCAACCACAGGATGGGAGAAGCTTCAACCACTCAACCACAGGATGGGAGAAACTTCAACCACTCAACCACAGGATGGGAGAAACT